CGACGGCTTGGACGAGACCGGACAAGGAGGAGCGGACAAACTCGGTTTAGAGGACTTCTTTGGAACGGACTTTTTCGAAGTGGGTATATGCGACGAGGTGGATGGACGTGATGTGGAATGTTTTTTACCCGAAGGTCGGACTTTTCCCATGCATAGGGGCTTTTTGCCGAGGTGAAGAAGTGTATGGTGGTCGCCTTTACACTTCTGACAACGATGTGGACTCAACTAAACCCAACTAAACAATTGGAGCAGAAATGCTCCTGAACCACAAATCGAATCCTTTTTTCGCAGGTCAATTTAAGAAATTCCGGACATTCCCGATGGAGGCACGTCCACTGTGCCTTTGCCTTGAGGAGTTTCGGCGGAAGTGGAAGTTTTAGTCTCCCGTAGAGGAGCAACCATTCCGCCTGTAGTAGCCACATCTGTCGATTGAAGTTCGTGTACGACGGGTGCAAGCTCCCGTAGAGGAGACGCCGTACCGACGGTCCAGGCAGAGTCTTGGGGAGATGCAGACCGCGCTGGTGCAATCTCCCATAGGGGAGCAGCGGTATCTGCACTTGCGGTCGAAAGACCACTACTTGAGGCCAGGAGCACCTGAGGGGTATCTCCTGCAGTTTGGGACGAAGATCCCGGATTTGGTGCAGGCTCTGCCGTGCAATTCTCCCGTAGAGGAGAAGCGGAGCCTGTTTGATAGGCCGTAGAGCCGGGTGAGTTGGCTGGTAGTGCCGTTGCAGGTTCCCGAAGAGGAGCCGCAGCATTGCTGACCCCGCGTATATCGGAGTCCTGGGAGCCCAAGGGAATAATGGCATCCTCCACACCTCCCTCTTCATCCGTAATTGGGATGTCCTCATCGTAGTAAGGAAGGGAAGCGGCCATCTGACTCAAATTTGCCATCTGTGAAAAAAGTGGAGATGGCACGGAAGAGAGGTGAACATTTTAATATTCGTCGGTCAAAATGACCAGCTTAACTACAGGTCGTCTTACGATACCAGTTTTCGTTTTAATATCAGCGACGCGAACGTGACCGTCAATTCCCGGATAAACGCTGTGGGAGGTAAATGTTCCTGACGAAGGACTACTAAATCGTCCGGTTGAATATCGCGTTGCGGAAATTTCCACTTGTAATGAAGGTGGAGGCTCTTTAAATATTCTTCTTTCCACCGAAGGCAGAATTGTTGTGACATTCATGGTCGAGAATTTAAGCGGACGAGAATTTAAGCATGCCTCAATTATTTTTAGCAATGTAAAAAACTCTTCACACTTATATTTGAAATTTTTAGCTATTTTCCTAAAATGAGTTTTAAAGCTTTTAACCGCAGCTTCTAAAAGTCCACCCGTATGTGGAGCTTCAGCTGTGTTAAATCTCCATGAAAGCTCTTGATAGGAAAAATTTGATCGGAGTTTATCACGAATTTCATTTAATGCTTGCTTAAATTACCGTTCTATCTCTCGAGATGCACCAACGAAGTTAGTGTCGTTGTCCGAGAAGATAGTCTTTGGACATCCACGACGAGATATAAATCTATTAAATGCAGCCAGGAAGGTAGTGGTAGATAAATCCGAGGCTAGCTCTAAATGTATTGCTTTCGTAGAAAAGCACACGAAGACACAGACATACCCCTTTGTAATTTTACAACATCTACCTGTGAAGGATTTAATGTCGAATGGACCAGCGAAATCGATACCTGTAGAGATGAAAGGCCTAACCAAAACATTACTTTCTGGAGGCAGAGTTGACATAATATTGGTACAAGTACGTTTCTTTGCTAAAACGCACAATTAGCAATGTCTTATGGTTGACCTAATCAGTGAAGTAGCGTGAGGAATCCAGTACTCCATGCGAAGCATACGGAGCATGAATTGGTTTCCTCCATGGAGCGAATCTATATGAATTTGTTCCAACAACAGTCTTGCAAATTTCTATGATAAGGTAAGAGAATAGAGGAAAGAGTCGGAGACTGCGATAGGCTTCCATTCAATCTCATTACCCCTTCTTTTTCCAGAAATGGATTTAGAGATAAAATAGCACTTTTAGGATTAAGTGGTCGTTTTGAAGTAAGGCATAATATTCCTCTGAATAGTATGCCTTTTGAGCAAGCGCAGCAAGACGCAATTCTACTGCTAGGATCTCTGAATTGTTAGGAGTGGAACCCTCATAATGATGTTTACCTCTATGAAAAGAATGCGTATTGTGGAAAAATCGAAAGATATATGCAATGGCACAAAATGCCCTATCTATGGAAGAAAATCTGATAATAGCGACATGACTTTTAACAGGAAGAAGTTCGACCTCAGTGTCAACAGAAACATTTTGAATTTCCCAGTTAGAACTATTAAGGCTTAGCCAATGAGGACCGTGCCACCAAATTTGAGAAGAGGCCAACTCCGAAGGAGAAAGCCCCATGCTACCTAAATCAGGAGGATTGTCTTCAGATCGAACATGAAACCATTTATTTTGCCTAACTTTCTCTTGAATGCGACATACCCTATTTGCAACGAAAGTAGACTATGTAGATGGAGTTTTTGAAGCCAAGAAAGGACGATCGTAGAATCGGTCCAACAAAGATATTATAAAAAGATATGTCAATTTCACTCAAAATACCCTTGACAAGTTCTGATGCTAATACAGCACGGCATAATTCTAAGCGAGGTAGGGAAATGGACTTAAGCGGAGCTACTTTTTTTCGCAAGTCAGCAAGTTTGTGAAAATTTTCCCATTTGAAGCAACGACAAGAATGTAAGCTACCCCCGCGTATGAAGTTCGACATGATAAAGAGGTGAATATTGGACCCAACGAGGAATGAATATGGAATTAACACCCTGATAAGAAATCACAAATTTTTCCCATTCGCGTTCTGTAGAAGACGGAAATACGCTGCATGATGATTTTTGCTTCAACAATTACTGGTCCTAACCTCCTACTGGATCGAAGAGCTTGGCGATGGTTGACAAAACTTCCCGTTTAGTATATTTGGACCGGTGTTCCAGCGGGTTTACACTGAAATAGAAATGGCCCAACTGTGCATTCCAGCGAATGTCCAGCGGTTTTGAACTACTAGCTTCCATGAAAGTGAGAAGCTTAGCATCATATAGGTGATCAATCTAAAATTTCTCGATTATTGGCTGTCCATTTACGAAGTTCAAACTTTGCGGAAGAAAGAGCACCAATGAGTTGGTCTCTTGATTTTTGCGCTGTCTCCAAATCGTGATAACCGGCCGTGATTCGTGAGGCATTGAAAACCACTCGCAATTTTGTTGTTTGTTTATTCGGATCAATAACCGAATGGTGTTATTGATGGTGGAATGGAGCAAACTGTAGAGCTTGCTAACGAAGCCGAAATCATGTGGTCTAATTCTAAATATTCCCGGACCACCCCATCGTAAATGGTTTTAATTTGCGATTTTCTTAGGAGTGAAGCCTCATGTCGAAAGAATTGTCTTAAGCAATTGGTCCTAGAAATACCAAGTTGGCCTGCGAATTCAGTAATGATAGGAAGTGTGACAATATATCTGCCTTCGGAGTCCTGCCGAGTCATCTTTTTGAAATTTTCCTCACAGAATTTGTCCGAAGGAGACAAAATAGCGCGTTTTGGTGGTTCTTCCAATCCCCAGAATCGAAGAAGAATCTTGTTCAGATCTTCTTCCGGAAAGTTGATAGTGGTTGTTAAAACCGTAATTGTAGAATTGGGAATGGGACCAGTAATGGTCTAGCCGAAAACAGTTCTCTGTGCCATTAAAGAACTTAAGATGTTCGATTGAATTCCCTGTAAAAGGATTCTAGGATATAAATCAGCGCCTAGTAGAAGGTCAACTGGTCTAGAATCGCAGAAGTTTCTATTGCCAAACGAATATTTGGCAAACGGGAAATTATGTCACCACCTATTGAAAAGGAGGGTAAATTACCAGAAATGGCGGGAACCACTAGAGCTGGGATTTCAAAAAAAATATGAGTCGATAGGAGAACCTATGCATAATGAGCACAATTTTCTGGATGTGGTGGAAACACTTTGATTAACGCCAGAAATCGTAGCTTAGGTCGAGGTAGTAGAAATATCAAGCCGACGTTGCAAATTTTCAGTGATGAAAGACGCTTCAGAAGCTGGGTCGATTAGGGCACGAGCAGGGTATGTGATGCCTTTGTGAATTCGATTCAACATTGCAGTACCCAAAACAACATTTTTGTTTTGCGAAATATGATACACTTGCCTATTGACAGAGTGGAATATACCTGACGAAGTCGAGGGAATATTTGGATTCGCATTGATTGATTGCCTAGAAGTTGTTGGCGACGGAGTGGCTGCTGGTGTAGAACTTGCGTGATTTGACATCTCACGATGTAAAAGTGCGTGATGTCGCTTATTGCACTTCCCACAATTGTGTTTACTTAAACATGTTTTAATTTCATGACCAACCACCAGACAGTTCAGACAACAATTGAAGCGTTTGAGCACTAAAAAAACGACATTCTATGGATAATTTTTTGAACTCTGGACAAAAACGCAATGGGTGAACCAATTTAGGACAGAGAACGCAAGATTTCAATGAACAAGCACTAGAATACACAGAAGTTGCGGACTTTGTTAAGTGAGTCTGCACTTTTCCCTCAACCGTTTTTGATGAGTCAATACCACGAATGTCTCTGAGACACGTAAGGGTCTGGATCCTTTTCGTAAGAATACCATGCAAATACTTCCAATCGGACAAAGCCGACTTGTCTTTGACTGTCTGTTCCCATAGCGACACCGTGTGCTTAGGCAATCTTTGAATGCATATGAAGACTAATATGGGATCCCAGTCGTTTGTAGAAACGTCATAGATCGTCATAGCCGAAATACATCCATTGATTGCTCGTTGTAGATTTTTCAAACCAGCACTGGACTCATTATCGACAACTGGAAGATCAAAGAGCAATTTCAATTGGTTGTTAACCAAGATTCGGACATTGTCATATGTCTCCTTTAAGGCCTGCCACGCTAAAGCAAAACTTTTGTGTGTCAGCGGAAACTTTGAAATTATGTCTTTTGATTCCCTTAAGTAAATAACACAATTTTTCAATGTTACTAAGTCGACTGTTGTTGATGTATACCGCAGAAAAAAGATCCCTAAAGGATATCACATGGTGGTAGATTCGGACTATGCATTACATTGTCATTTGAAGCGAAAACTTCAACTGACGGTTCCGCATGGCGCGAAACGCCAGACAGAGACAAAAGTTCTGCATGAGGGGGAGAACTAACTCGAGGAGTGCTAGTCACGTTAACGCCATGAACACCTATTTGGGAAGCCTGTGAATTCTAACGTTGAGACTGCTGGGCACTATTCAAACTTTGAATTAACGAAGGGTTAGAATTTTTTTGTAAGGTACGTAATTGGTCCAATTTACGATTTATTGAAGCAATGACGTTTACATATGCCCTATTTCTTTCTTTCTGCAGATGTGATGTCTTCGCTTTCAGCATCTTCAGAAGTTTGGATATATGTAAGACATTGGTCAAACATTTCCTTCACTTTACTCCACAATTCCCTTACCTCAGCGGCTAGAACATCAAGGGAATATATGTCCAGCTCTTCCTCTCGAAGAGAAGTAAAGTTGGCTTCAAATGTTACCAGAGCATCAGTTGCCCTGATAAAGAAATCAAGTGGAGATAGTGGCATTGTGAATTAGGAAGCTCTATGAATTTGGCCAAAGAGAACAAGAAATGAAATTAAAAATCGCAAATCTGGAGATATCAGTGAAAACAAACTTAAAATTGTTAAAACTCAACGAAAATTGAGTGAAATTGTTCAAATTTATATTGAAACAGCACGAAAATGCTTTTATCTATTAGTTAATGCTAGCAAATACAACACCTAATTAGATAAAAAAAACTTTTTGTTTGCAAAATTAAAAAAAG